TTTTCGAAAATTAAGGCAATTTAATTTAAAATTTTAAACACCAAAAATACTTTGATTTAATAATTATCAAAATCAAACAATTAATTTGAATTATTAAATCTTTAGGGATTATCATAAAATTAAACTATTAATTTATTTAATCCTTTTATTTTTAAATATATGGAAAGGATAACACAAGATCTTCAATTATCTAGTTTAAACAATTAAATTGATAATCACAAAGATAGTATTATCCATATCCCTAAAAACTTGGGACCTTATCTTGGGGACAAGGGATTTTCGAAATCCCTAGGGTTTCATAACCCTAATTTCGAAATTTTGGAGGCTAGGCAAAAGGGTTTAAGAACCCTATCAAAAAATCGCCAACTAGGGTTTTGCAACCCTAATTTGCGAAAATCACCAAGCCTTAGGGTTTACTTGCCTTAAACCCTAATTTGTCAAGTTCATAATATGCATCAAATCCAATTGAAAACAAAAAACCAATGGCTCTGATACCACTGTTAGGTTTTATACAAACAATCCTATGTGTGCATACAACCCTATATTGGATCTATGTTTTCACTAAAGACATACAACTATATGAACACAAAATAAACCCTGGATGCTTCTATAATTTTCGAAATTTACATAGAAGTGTAGTAGACATACCTTTGTTGTTATATAGCAATAACAACTAGTTTCCTTGATCTCTTGAACTCTCTTGAACTCTTGAAAGCAAGCACCACAATTGTAGTGCCTCTAATGGCTCACAAACACCTTGAAGCAAGAAGGCAATTAAGAGAGAGAGAAGGATAATGCTAATTTCGGCCCTAGGGTTCCCTTGGAATCAAGTGGCCTTAAATTGAAGCATAGGGTATGTATTTATACTATAGGGTGCTAGGGTTTCAGTCAAAACCCTAATGGACAGCTTAGCCACCAAGCAGCCCAAGGAACCTTCTGGAATGAGGCCTTGGACGAAAATATGATGATCCTTCATCATAATTTCGTTCCCCCCTTAGTCCATTAGGTTTCCTAGCCCAAAACTCAACTATCACACATTTGACAGTTTATACCCCTTTATTTAATTTGTCTCTTTTAGTCACCAAATTAATTCCTAATTAATTTATGACTAATACTAATCAAATAAATATGATTTCTCCTTTAATATATTATTCTTATAATATATTAATAAATCATAATATCTCCTCTCTCATATCAAATTACCTTATCAAGTTGCTTTGGTGAAGGCAACCCAAAAGGACCATGCAAATTCGGGTCAAGTACATACCAAATATGGTTACGGACTTAGACACTAATCCAACACTATCTACACTAACCATAAGAGTTTGAGGTACTTGACGAACCAGCCGAATCTGAATATGCGGTAGCGGAGATGGTTAGATGTGGTAAAGAATTATGATTGTGAGATCATGTACCACCCTGGTAAGGCTAATGTGGTGGTCGATGTTTTGATCCGTAAGTTAGAGAGTGCTCCAATCAGGGATATTTGTTTGAGGATGGTTATTACTTCGACTTTGTTGGATATCATAAAAAGGATCAAGTTGACGGATTGAAAAAATAGAATTGGAAGGTCGAGCGAATCACGGAACAAATTCCTTTATTTGTCAGAGACATTCGAGGGTTGTTGACTCAGCGTGGCAGAGTTTGGGTTCCGACTACTGGTGGAGCGAGACAGACAGTTCTAGAAGAGGCTCATAAGTCAAAGTTTTCAATTCATCCAGGGACCATGAAGATGTATCGAGACTTGAAATTGAGTTATTGGTGACCCTATATGAAGAAGGAGATAACATGATTTGTTGAGCAATGCTTGACTTGTAGGAAAGTCAAGGCCAAACACCAGAGCCCCACGACAAGATGTAGTCATTACCTATTACCATGTGCAATTGGGAAGAGATTACCATGGATTTTATCACAAAACTGCCACGAACGACACGTGAGTTGATGCTATTTGGGTCATTGCTGATAGATTAACCAAGAGTGCACGTTTCATACCAATTGTTGAGAGTATATCTTCTGAGAAGTTAGTTGATATTTACATTTAGGAGTTAGTGGTTCGGCACAGTGTGCCAGTTTCGGTGGTTTTGAACCAGGATGTTCATTTCACCTCCAGGATTTGGAGGAAGTTTCATGAGGAATTGGGTACTCAGTTGCATTTCAGCACAGCATACCACCCCCAGACCAACAGATAGAGTGAGTGGACGATACAAACGCTCAAATATATGCTTCAGGCATGTGTGTTAGATTTAGGAGGGGGTTGGGATACTTACCTTCTCCTATCCGAGTTCTCCTACAACAATAGTTATCATTCTAACATTGACCGACCATAGTTTGATATGTTGTATGGGAGGAGCTGTAGGACCCCGGTTTGCTGGGGGGAGGTCGGGCATCAGGTCATGGGGAGTACTGAGGTGGTACTCAAGACTACTAAGTTGATTCAGCAGGTACGTGATAAGTTGCGGGTCGCGTAAAGCCAGTAGAAGAGTTATGCAGACCGGCGACATTCAGACCTTGAGTTTCAGTAGGGAGACTTAGTGCTTCTGAAGGTGTCACCTAGTAAACGTGTCATCTAATTTCAGAAGTGGGGCAAGTTGGGCCCCTGATTTATCGGTCCCTTTAGGATTACCGCATAAGTGGGAAAGGTTGCATACCGACTATATTTCCCTGATACGCTTAGCCAAATCCATAAAAACCTTCCACATTTCTAGCTTCGGAAGTGTGTAGCTGATGATTCCACAGTTATTTCTTTGGATGATATTCAGGTCGATGATCGTCTGAATTATGTGGAAAGACCAGTAGTGGTTTTGGATCAGAAGACAAAGGCCTTGCATAATAAGGTGGTGTCCTTGGTCAAATTTCAGTGGCAACATCAGGATGGTTCCGAATGGATGTGGGAACCCAAGTCAGAGATGTGTGAGCATTACCCTAAGTTATTTGCAGCAGTGGACTTCGAGGACAAAGTACGATTCAAGTGGGGGAGAGTTGTAACATCTGGAATCTTGGAGGTATTTAAATTAATGTATTTTGGACTCTGGGCAGTACCACATCGCGCTGAAGGCATCCCACCAAGTGGTGATGGGCGTTGTGTCTCGAATTTTAAATGGGCGCCACAACGTGGCAGCCTATAGCCACATTATGGCAGTTATTTAATGAGAAACCATAATTTACGGGGTTTGCGCCTTATTTATATCGGATTAGGTGTTTGACCCCGTAACTTAAATTGGTATATACTTGAATTGATAGTAGCACACTCCTTTTGGGTTGCCCTTAAATCTAACAATTGGACAAGATGACTTTGAGTGGGAGAGAGAGAAAAAGAGAGAGATTAATTTATTATGCGATTAATAATTAAATAAATGGTTCATTAATGTGTTATGAAAATAATATATTAATTAGAAATCATATTATTCAATTAATAACTACAGAAATTAATTGGAATTAATTTTGGGATTAATTGGATTAATTAAAGTAGACTGTTTGGTTACTTATTGATAGTTGAGGAAGGAAGGATCTAGAACCTCATGGAATGAGGTGGACAAAAATCATCTAGGGTAAGGCCTAGATGATTTCGTCCAAGTCCTCTTCGATAAGGGGAATAGACTAATTGGTCACCAAGCAAGGGAATCGAGGGCTTATCCCTTAAAGCCTTGCTTTGGCCCTAAGTAGCTTCAACTATATAACGAACCCTAGCCCCTTGATTTCGTCCATCCCTTCCCTCTACATCCTTGGACGAAAATTGCTTCTACCCTTTCCTCTCTCTTAAGTTATCCTCTTGCTAGCTTGGGTGTAATTCCATTAGAGGCGTTACATTGGTGGTGCTAGCTTCCAAGATATTTTTCAATGGGAATTTCTAGTTGATTGCTATAACAACTAAAAGGTATGTAATCCTAAAACCCTCTCCTTTATTTTCGAAAATATCCTAGGGTTTCTAGGGTTCTTTTTTATGTTCTTAGTTATAGGTTCAATAGAGAAAACATAGATCATATTTAGGTTACATGCAAACCTAAGGGTTCAATAGAGAAAACATAGATCCTATTTAGGGTTTCTAGGGTTCTTTTATATGTTCTTAGTTTAAGTACACAATGTTTATATATGTACATATGTTCATTAATTTGAAACATTCATTTTTATACACTACTAGAAAAATAGCCTTTTACGACGCTCATTGCGCGTCGTAAAAGGCTCAGACGACACGCAAATCCACGTTAAGGAAGGCCCTGTCATAAAGAGAGACGACGCGCTTTTGCGCGTCGTCTATAGACGACGCGCATTTATGACGCTCATTTAAGACGCGCAATTATGACGCACATTTACGACACACAATGCGTATCAAGGAAGGCCCTGTCATAAAGGAAGACGATACGCATTGGCGTGTCGTAACATTACGACGCGTGTGTTAATGACACACAATGCGTATCAAGAAAGCCCCTATCAAGAAAGGCCATGTCATAAATGAAGACGACACACATTTTTGCGTATCATAATTTTAAATGATTAAAAAAATTATTATTTTTAGATTTACTAATTTTCGAATTAATAATACATTAAAAATCCCACAATACAAAATAAAATACCATAAATAAAAAAGATAATTCATTTCACTAATATGTCAAATACATATAATTATTCCAAAAGTGAGTAAATGTTATAAAAAATGAACTCATTTATATACAATTGCATCATCTAGCTTACTATGTGCCAACAACTCTCTGTGTGTTTTCTTTTGCTTGAGTCTCGTTTCCTCCAAAGCTTCTAGCCATGCCAAAATATGATATCTTGAGTCTCGTTTCAAGAACCAAAAGAAATAACAAAAGTGCATAATTGATGTATAAATATATTTTATGCCAACTTATGACATGAAAATATGTTAGGGGATTAAGTCGAAGAAACTACCCAGGACCAAAAGAAAGAAGCTAGCTCAAACACCATCTGCATACGGATTGATCATGAGTTATGAAGTTGTGTTATAGCCCTAAAAACAAACACTTTGTGGAAATGAAGAATCAAATGCAATAAATGCCCAACCTTCGATCCATGATAGCTTCAATGTTGTTATTTCTCATTTTCTTTTGTGCCTCCACATCAAAAGGGTCTGCATAAAGTAGCTCCTGTGTTTAAGAGTAACGACCAAACTTTTCTCATATTGTAAAGAAGACGCAACGACCAAACAAAATTGACTTAGTTTAAAAGTAAAGAAAAATGCATGTAGGGCTACGGTAGACTGAGAGAAAATGACTTACTTTAAGAATAAAGTAGCTCCATTCTTGGATCCGATACCACCAGGTACCAACAAAAAATTCAGAGAAACTTTTAAAAATCTATACATAATAGAAGCTTAATCGCACAAGAATAAAATAATCAAATTCAATGATTAACCTATAAATTAGAGAATATGAAAGAAGATAAACGTGGAAAATAAACAAATCAATTTGCCCTAATTCAAAGAAACAAGTAGACTGAGAGAAAATGTTATGTTTATTTCATTTATATTATTCTATAATAACTCCTGTTTATGAAAATAGTTATAAGAAGAATTAGGGAAATTCACATAGATAACTGCTTGGAAAAAAATCCATTATAATATTATAACAAACACTTGGAGTGCAGTAAGACGATAGAACTTACATAGTAGCTTCTTCAAGCATCCATGGAGGGTTTCGTATTAATTAAAATCAGATTACTTTCGAAAAAACAAAAAACATGAAGAGAACAAAGAAGCCCTAAAACAAAATACAAATGATGAATGAAGAGATTTGAGGAGGTGAAGGCAGACATAAAGTGTCCTGTCTCACCCAGTTGTTAGACGCATGCTAGAATCCTAGGGTTGTTTGACAACTCTGAACAATTTCTATTGCAAAACTCCTGTTGTGATATGTATTTCATAGTATAAATCATTAAATAAGTGTTCTCTGCCATTGAAGATTATACTTTGTTGTAGTTTCTTTTGATTTTAAACTTATATTCTTTAAGAGAGAAGGAGAGGAAGGGTGTTAATGGAATAACACAAATTAAAGCTATTTAAAAAAAACCACTTGCCTGGAAGATTATTTGAAAGGAATATCCATATATACCGGCATCTTTCTATCTTGACTTTCTCTGTAAACAAACAGTCAAACAAGATGAAGTGAGAGCTATTATAATGCTTCTACTCAGCATATATATATATATATATATATATATATATATATATATATATATATATATATATATATATATATATATATATATATATATATCCTTGTATGGCTTGCAAAGGAGTTCCAGTCAAACGCAATCTGTGAGAGCTATTATAATGCTTCAACTCAGCATTTAACTTGCAAGAAGCATTTTTTATATGATGCCCTTCATCAATTATAAAATAACGCTAATGTATCTTGCTCAGTTTTGGCTTATCATGCTTCTTATATTATTCTTTTATCCAACTTAGTATATTTTAATTTATCGTACTAAAATTATATTTCTTACCTTCAAGTCCACGTAAGTTTGATGGTTTGCATCATCAAAAGCACGCATTTTAACATCACGCCATCTGCAAATTTTTTACAAAAAAATATTAGAATTGATAATAATAATAATAATAAATAAATTTTTATTTTTTTTAATGTAAAAAAAAAAAACATAGACATTCCAGCTCCAAGCAGGGTCTCAACAGCTTCCACAAGCACTTGTACTTCAGACACTGAAAAAGGTCTCCTGGTTCTTCTTTGTGAAAGTTGATATATTTTAATTGAATCTGCCACTTGTTTTCCTTCTTCTTCTTCACTTATTGCATTCACATGTTCTACTTCATTCTTCTCCAACACAGGACTAGGAGGTATCAACAATGGAGTTTCTTTCTGTATAGGATATGAAGATGGAGATGGAGAAGAAGGCTCAGGTAAAGTAGGCTCCAATGTGAATCCTAAAGATTCAAGATTATATTTTTGGGAAATCCCTGTTTGTTCCAAAAGATAGATCCCAAAAACAAAATTCCACTGAACTAAAAAATAAACAGAAAATAACTTGCATTGTTGCTAAGAAACAACCCTCGAAAAGCATATAATTGTCCAAAAAAATATAACTATACCCTCTATACCAAAACAACTAGTCCAACTCAAGAAAGAAAAACAGAATTGGAACCAAAGATCCATAGAAAAATCCAACACAAAACATCCCAAATATTCCAGACCACAAAACTGGGACAAAAACTAGTCAAAAGGGTAAATATGTCCAAATCCCAAAAAAAATTGAATATAACTTCACAAATCCAGGTAAAACACAAAAAAAAAAATAACCCTATACTATTACTAACACTTACATTGTTATTTCGACCAATGGAAGCTCCCCAATGGATTCTGCAGAATCAAGTGCATTTTCAACAAGTTCTCTCACGGTATTGTAAAGTGATTTTCCAGGCTGAAACTCAAATACAACATATAATTATAAAATGTTAAATACATAACAACCATAAGGCCAACTAATTTCCTTTGATGTTTTATATTATGTGGTAATAGATCACATCATGTAAAGTTATGCTGAATCATTCATAACAAAACAAACAAAACATATACTAGATTACACAATACAAATTTCGTTGTGAAACCCAGCAATGTTCTTATTCTCCGCAAAGAACTTAGCAAGAGAGTCTGAAAAAACCAATGGAGACTCTGAAAGAAACAAAACTTGAAATTAAACTACAATCAACACAATACCATCTCCTGGTATCGAGGTTGAACAAGATAAATACATTTAATTAAAATGAGAAGTGAAAAAGAAAAGAATTATTACTAGTCAATTCTTATGAAAATACCAAATGATGTTGTTATATCCTAATGTTATAAAACATGCCAATATATCTTCCGTTTAATTTACCTGTGATAGAATTGAGCTTACATGGCTATCCGATATATCCTCCATAAATATGTAATATGAAAAAAAAAAACTTGCATCCATAAGTTTAACCATGATCGGAAGCATATAAAAAAGTATAGTATATTTGGAGCTTGTGAAATCAACTTTACCATAATCAACTTTACCAAAAGATTCGTTGTTTGCACCCCACCCTAAACTTGAGATGAAGTCAACCATTTGTGGTGGGCACTTCCAGCCTTGAACAACACCAAGCATTTATCATTCATTGGAGATGAAACCATAAACGAAATCAGGACCGGATCAACTGCATAAAGATATAAAAGATAGTTGTAAAACTGGAAGATGTTTGTTTAGGATAAGCAATAATAAGCTTTGAGAAGAGGCACTAACCAGGAAGATAACATAAATGAATCAAGGTGGCAATTCATCAAACAGTTGGTGTGCACAGCCAAAATCTACGTAAAAATAGAATTCCTCTCCATCACAGAACAATCACCAAACATCATATCCTCAACATCCATTTACGAACATGAAGCGCCACCTCACAACCTCACATTCAATTCGGAAAAAAAAAAGAAATAACAAGAATGAAGAAGAGGATGTAATCGAAGCAGAAAAGGAAAAATCAATACCTGTAGTTCTTGTAGTTCTTGGAGGTTCGATCGATTTCAAGAAAGGAAATAGATGACCAGTGATTTTAGGTGACCTGGTTTGTCGATCGAAGTTTGAAGAGGGAAAAAGACATCTGATTGATTAAAGGGAAAAGGAAGGTACAAACTTTGGAGGTTGTGACTGTTGATCGATAATTTAGAAAGGAACGATATGTAAGAAGGGTTTGAACATACCCTTTTTACGATCTCTTGTAAGTGTGGGAAGTTGCTGTGAGCTATGAATTATGTGAGGTCCGGTTCAAGCCCTAGTATCTTTATTTATTACGTGAAGATGGGCCATATGCGAAGTTAAAAGATGAAGACGGACCACATATGAAGAATTTTGGGTAAAGATATGGTTAGATCTGATTCAAAGCATATCTATAGGTATCAAAGCGGCCATGGAATTTGCAGAGTTTCATTAATTAGGTCATCGAAAAGAGAAGGGGTTTTTAGCTGGTAGAAGATGAGAATAAGGCGGGGGTTTTAATTTTTTGGGGTTTGATTTCCCCCCTTAGCTATTAAAGATGGAGAAGGCGCGTTTGATGAAAATTTTATAAAGCGACATGCATAGACGATACGTCTTTTATGCTGAGTGCCCTCCGTGTTTTTATTTTTTTTGTTCTGACACTAATTTTAAGGGCACGCAATAATGCGTCACCTAAATCCTTAAATTTTTTGAAGAGATGACACTCTTTTACTGTCACTCTCTTTTGCGTAACATAAATCAGTGAGTGTCATAGTTTGCGCGTCGTAAAAGGCTGTTTTTCTAGTAGTGATAAAAGCAAGCACATTACACTTTTACATATTTGTCAAACATACTCGACTTTTATAAACTGTATACATTGATATTCATTATGCCTAGTGACTTAATCACAATTAAGTTAGGGCTGAGAGTTATTCATAAACTTTTTAGTTAAGGAATGTTTAGTGAGACATTATTCATTAGTTGAGTCTAAACACTTTGCATACGCACACTACTATAAATGTTAATCTTCAGAGCGAGATACATATGTATATATAGATCAATACGAGGTTGACATCCCCACCTATGGTTGCTAGCTACAACCTCGATCGATCAATCGAAGCAGGTAAAGGTCACTAAGTTTTGTGCTTACAGTTATGTTTGTGGTTTCAGGTGCTTTTGGTACAAAAGGGAAGGGTCTAGCCTGATCACATCGTATCCACCCATGTTCCACATTTTCTCTAGGATTTGGATTTGTACTCTGATGATTTCTCTCGTTTGACATACTTTGTTGAGTTTGTTATGAACACTTCATGGTTTTCAATTAAAAATAAAAATAAAAATTGTATCCATGTTTTTGGGATGTTACAAGTAGTGGTCATGGCGTGGTGGTCGTTGACCGTTGACTCTTTGACATGGTTGACTTGTAGTCAACTGATTAGTTTTAGATGGTGGTCTAAGGTTTTACCTTGAATGTTCATTAGATGATGTGTAGCACCAATTAGCGTCTGTGAGACTTTCAGTACTTTCGACTGTGTTTGTGAGGTGAGTCTTCTCACTATACTATGTAGGATTCTAGATTGTCTTTGTGAGACTTTTATGAAAGACCATGGGAGGGCCATGGCATTTGTATGAAAGACTCCAATTTGCAATTCAAACCGAACGAAACCCTTCCGATCCTGAATTATCTTGTTGATAACTAGAAAACAAAATCCCCGACCATTCATTGTTGCTGAAACCTTTCATGGAAAGCAAAGGAAACTCCTAATGCCACAAGAGTACCCAATGACCATGGATCTGAAAGAATAACTCCATCGGGACGACCAAAAACCCACCAACAATTCAAACTAAGCTAAATCATGGAAACTAACCCTAACAAGGAGATCTAAGCATATGGTAAGCAAGGTTGAGACTTTATACCAGAAAATTTTTGAAGATTAAGCAAGAAGTCAAGATATTGAAGCTTCATTTGATATCAACAACTTGCACTAAGCTTTCTTTCTTCCAAATGCTTCCAATACACCCAAAATACACTCCAAATGAGCTCATAACATTCAAAAATGAACTAGGATTTCAGGATCAGGGATTAGGGTAGAGGAGGCTGGAAATGAGGGCAATGCATTGGGGTTAAAGTGTTTAAATAGGGTGCAGAACCCCGAAATTAGGGTTTCTCAAATCACGACCAACTCATCGAGTTTGTCCCTTCCAACTCGTCGAATTAATCTCCAAAAATACGCGCGACTCATAATTCCTACACGTCGAGGTTATGTCTGCAACTCGACGTGTTGATCTTTAAAAATTAAGTTTTACTTTCCATAATTAGCCTTCTATATTCCGGGTGTTGCAGTAGAGTCGTGTCGGTTTAAATCGCGAAACTTCAACGGGTCATAACTTCTTTGTTATAAGTCAAATTTCAGTGTTCTTTATATGTACAGAATCCTTGTGAGATATACGGTAAATTTGGTTAAGATTATTTATCCTAAATAATCTTCTATCAAAAATTCATTTTTAATGCTTATTATCTCTAAATTTGACTAGCCCGAATATGTGGATGTTGTTGTAACAATTGGTAAAATATGGTCAGAGTTCAGCGGTCAAACCACCGCGAACCGCTAGGTATTAACAACTAATTGTGTGCAATTTTATGTTTATAATTTATATTAAAGGTATTATATCCATAAGTACTTTTAGAACATCTTAAAATGTTCAAAACACCTATCGTTGAAGATCGAATCGAAAATCACCAAAAATTAAATTTATTGGTAACATTAAAAATAAATTTTTGCATTAAGTTTATTTGAGACTTATAGATAAGAAATTTGAATAGATTACGTTCTCCTGATTCCGTGGATATAAAGAACGTCCAAAACAGACGTCTTATGAGAAAGTTACGCCTCTTTAACGTTATAAAAATCAATATTTATCTGATTTTTTTAAACGAATCGTGCACTATTTCGTTCGGAATGGTTACAAGCCTCGTAAACTATTTCTGAGTACATTTTTTATTTTACTACGGTCTATTAATATTTTATTTCATTTTTATAATATTGTTAATCTCGACCAAAATCATATTCGTAAAATCTGTCAAATTTGAGCCAATTACTCGTGAAACTGTAAAAGTTGTTTCCGGAAGTTTGGTACATCGAAATTGAATTTCGTCTACGTTTTTGAAATCATCACGACTAAGACAATCAATAGACAGTTTCATAAAAATATTACTTATTGAAATCATTGACACGAATATCGTGAAAACGGGATTTATATCGCAAATAACATATTATAAATTATATATATATATATATATATATATATATATATATATATATATATATATATATATATATATATATATATATATATATATAACTTCCTATTCTAATAAATGAATAGGTTTATTTTTCCATTGATAAGTATCATACTATTAGAGTTCCTTATTAATAAATATATGTAACCTATCATGCCACTTGTCAACCTATTAATTTTAAATTTAAAATTTTAAAATTTCCACTTTAATTACATTAAATTAATAATTGATTTTACATTTTAAATTTTAATTTTTGAATTTTTTATTCTAATTATATTAAAGTAATAACATTATGTTAAAAAATAAAACTAAATTAATATAGATTATAAGGTGATATAACTTCACATATTTATTTAAATCAAAAATTATAATTTTATATAGCTAAAAAAATATCTCTTAAGTAATTATTTATTTAAAATAATTGATTAATAATGTTTATTTTTTTAATATGAAAGTTTAATTAATTTTATAACCGTGGTTCTCACGGGTTATAAACTAGTATATATATATATATATATATATATATATATATATATATATATATATATATATATAATCAAAGAAAGACTTATTCCAATTTCAGCTTCAAATGAAAGCTAATGGGAGTAGACGCATGTTATGCTTGATTGGTTTATTTTCTTCTACATGTCATTCTCTCTATTCTCTCTCCTTTCCCTCTATCTCAAATACTCGATAGAAGAAGCAACCACCGGAGGTGGGTGTTCCGGTGAGCCAAGAGGTTGCCACCTCTATCTCGGACCTCCTCATTTTCCTTGTATGCTCACTGATCTTAGCCAAACACCCTAGCTACATTTGAGAAACACCACCCAAAATCCCCTGTCGAGCATCAAACAAACAAACCCTTGGATGGTTGATTCCAGCGAGATCAATAGGAGCTACAACCCTCTCGATGACTGCTATCGACATTCAACACCTCCATAACCCTCATGCAGTCAAATAAGTACAACCCAAACACCCCACCTCAATCGTTGTTGTTACTACTGCTTTGATTCCCTTCCGAATCGTTGCTACCGGTGATGGGAAATAAACCATGATGAGGCTTGCCGGAAATCAGCCTCGAGACCTCCTTCGGTCGTTCATCACACCTCCCTCCCTTTGCTTCGTCACAGAACCACCTCTCCACCGTTGTGTGCCGACCTTCTCTGCATATCCATCCCCATTCGCTTTTGTTGCTTATTGGTTTAGAAAAGGGAGAAGACACTAGTGATAGCCTTCTGTCGGTGCCCATCTCGTGATTTCCCAATCGCCACTGGAAAAACCCTTGTCTTCCTTGTTTTCAGTTAGTCAGAATTACCTAACACCCCTAAACATCCAC